ACCCCGAACCTTAAACCCTAACCACTCCACCCTAAGCCCTAAACCCCGAACCTTAAACCCTAACCACTAAACCCTAAGCCCTAAACCCCGAACCTTAAACCCTAAATCGCATTGCTTGAGGTTGTTCAGCTTCAGGCTTTCGAGTCGAGATTGGTCTCATAAACCAAACCCAGAGGGTCTAAGAAGTACCCAATAATTAGGTCCCTTTAAAGGGATCTGTAGGGGTATATAGGGATGTAGAGGGATATATACGGATTTACAGGGTTTAGGGTCCAAGTACCCAATAATTAGGTACTTGGGTTTTCGGTAATAGTAATTATTGTACAGGTTTTGGGTAAGTATATTATTATTACGTACTTGGACCCTTAGGGAAAGGTCCCTCCTTGTGGTGCCAAAAGCTGAAGTCTCCTTAGGAAACACTTTCATCTTTGACTGTCGCATAAACCTAAGGAAGCAATTTCACACAATATTTTTTGTTAGGTCCCCAGACCCCCTAAAGATCCAAAAATGGACCCTTCCCCCCCCCCCCCAATATGGACTTTTTCTGCATTGGGGAAACCTGGGGATTGTTGCGGAGTTCCATTTTTTTGGATCCTTTAAGGGGCCTGGGTCTTGAGGGATTACAGACGAAGGTACAATCCCCAGGCTGTTGTCCTGGCGCTCAGGGTATAGGGTTGAAGGTTTAGGGTTTAAGGTTTAGGGTTTACGTTTAGGGTTGAAGGTTTAGGGTTTAAGGTTAAAGGTTTAGGCTTTAGGGTTTAGGGAGGCACCCACTTGGTCTGAACGCTTGGAAGTGCTAAGCCACACGATTTACGGTTTAGGGTTTTTCCTGAGTCTCGCATGTAGCTGCTTTTTTGATTTGTTCCAGTTCCCTGGTAAGGCGTCCCGGTAGATCACCCAAAAAGAGATTACACCTAAGGCTGAGGCCTAGGGTAGAGTTTCGCGCGTAGCATTTAGGATTGTGGAGCCTCAAGGCAATGGCAGCACATGCATGTACCCGAACTGCGATGCAACCTCTGCTGCTTGCCCTGCAGTCGCCTTGGGGTTTGGGATTCAGGGTGTGGCCCTAAACCCTGAACCCCAAACCAACAACTGAAACCCCAAAATGCAGCACAAAGCTATCGCCACTTTGGCAGAGTCACGCAGATAGATTCCTGTAAACCGCAGCCCTCATCCCTCAAGACACGACACACCCTAAACCTTAAACCCAATAGGACCACGTGCTGAGCACAGGCCCCGCACCATCCATGCGCGTTCAGAGAATACAACCTTCGCACAGAAGTCGCCTGGCAAAACTGTTGTTTATCAGGGTGCAGGGTTCAGAGGTAGGGTCCAAGGGTTTAGGGCGTAGATGTTTTGGGCTTAGGGTCTGGGCTGAAGGCTGGGTGTGACAAGTTCAGGCTCGAGCTGAGCTTTCTTTGGGCCTGTCTAAGTTCTTACTACAATGGTCCTTACAGTGGGTTCCCCCATTTGGAAACAACAGATCCGGCAGTTCCCAAATGTGTTTTGAGGGGCGGCATACCCTAGGCCTGATATGCAGTTCCTGCTTGGGTGGTGTACTAGAACCCCTTCCCAAGAAAGACACTGAACCCTAAACCTTAAAAAAACTAGAAAGTAACTTCATAGGAGCATCTGATCGTTTCTTGCCTCTGCTTCGCTAAGAATCAGCAATAGATCCTTATAGTAGGCCCTTTACCATCCTAATTTAATAATATAGTAGGTTCCATTTTATGTTTCATGCGCAGTAGTTACTAATTACTTTCCATTCCTTCATTGCCGGCCAACCAAAGGTAAGCTTTTGGCAGTTTTCTTTGCAGGTTACGGTCCTTAGGGTCCGGGGCTTAGGATCTGGGTATGAGGGTCTTGGGAGAAAGCACGTTATGGACTCACGTTCAAGGAGCTCCTGGTGGGAGATGGAGCCAAGGAGGTGGACCATAAGGCCTCCGCAAGGCGTGAGCTATCTACCACAGCAGCAAGCTCACACATGCGCCCCTTACAGCGTGTAGGCCCCATCGAGAAGCTGACAGACTCTGACATGCAAGCGATTCGCAAGAACTGCGACCGGTTTCTCGTGGCGCTGTTGCACGAGTATAAGCTCGTTGACAGCGGCAAGTTCAGCAGCCGGTCTACATTCCTCAAAATTCCATTCATGTACGAGGAGGCGAACGAGATGTTGCGGGAGTTTGCTGCCCGAAAGAAGGACGCGAAGAAGAGTCGGGTTGCAAGGGATTTCGGCGAAAAGATTTTGGGTGAACAGCTGGATCGTATGAGGGACCATGACTACCATTGTGGACACGGAAATTCTTGCTGACCTCAGTAGATTGCTGACCTAAGTACATAAATACAGCACCATACTTGTAGTCGTTTAGAATACTCGAGGTCATGCAGAACTTGTGGTACCAACCTTAAAGGGGGGTCCTACCTATCAAGGGTTACGGCAGCACGGATGTTGTCGCGGCTTTGGAGCTTCTCGCGCGCCAGTATGAAGTGCTCTTCACGCACATCCTCTGGCGGCAAGCTGCGTTGCAGACTCGCGCTTTCGAGGAGCGAGTGGATGTGTTGGTCACCACCTCGGACAAGCTTCGCAAGATGCTAGCTCATGGGTCTCCATGGCTACGGGAGCGATCTCTATCTGTGCTGGCAATGGACGAAGTCGAAAACGAGGAGTATGTCGAAGTGGTAGCGGCTGCCATCCATTTCGACTTGGTCTTGCTGGCCGGAGACCGCAGCCAAGGTTTGTGTGCTCACCGCGGGCCGGTGCCAGTTCTCCACGATAGTAGCTAGTAGGTCTTATTCATGCAGGCGCTCCTAAGCATGCAGAGACTCCGTCGGAGGTCGGTGTGACTACGTCCTTCGTCAAAGCCAAACTGCAGCCCGTGGCTGTTGACTTGCATGCGTGGTTGGCGACTCGGGCGCGAGAGCTGGTGTTGGAGGAAACCTGGCGCTTTGGCTCATCCGTGCTGGAGCTGGCCCAGCAGATCCTTCCGGCCCATGCTGCTACTTTGAAGGTCGCAGCCGGCAGTCAAGTGGAGACGGTGGTCAGAATCGCGGAGTTGTCCGCGTCCTGTACAAGCGGCATGTTTCAGGGGATAGCATACATTACCTAGCTCCAAGGTCCCCTAACATAGCTTCCCAGGTCTGAGTTGGAATGTACTGGCGTTGGGGCTTAGGGCTCAGGGTTCAAGGCTTTAGGGTTTTAGGGCTTAGGGCTTAGAGTTTTGGGTTTAGGGTTTAGGTTTGTGGTTTGGGGTTTCAGGTATTAGGGTGTAGGGTAGGCTGTACTAGCGTGCCTACCGTGATGTAGAAGCAAGGTTGCAAAAACGCGTTACTAAAAGTTGTTCTTGCGGTCTATGTAACATGTTGCCAACGGTCAGTTCAATCATAAACGTTGGCATCTACCCAAAGGCTCCAATGTAGCTCCCTTTTGGGTGGGTTTTTTAGTATATTATATATTGGTATATTATACTCCCTTACCCCAAAAAACAAAAGACCCAAACAGGAATTTCATTGGAGCCTTTGGGTAGGCTTGCCGGTGCCTTAGGAGTCGCCTGTGTAGTCTCTTTTCACACAGCCTCTGTACTTTGCGCAATTCCCATGTAAGTAACCAGTAAAGTTACCAGGATGGGTTTAGGATTTAGGTTTCCTACGCCCGCTTCGGTTAGCATAGTAGCCCTTTTGGGGGGTTTCGGCTTCGGGTTTCGCATCAACGCTTAAACTTAAAACGCCTGAACCCGAAATCCTTGAAAAGGCCAAAGCCTGAACCCTCAAAAGCAAACACACAAGCACGAAAATGAAATCTGAAACCCTAAGCCCGACCGCGGCATCAAAACAGCTGCTACCCGTGGGAGGCTAATGGATGTCGTTCCCGGGTGTAGTGTCCACTGGGATAATACTGAGAACCATGGCCATCAAGTACCATAGTCCGTATGTATTCCCCATACGGCCATACGAATTAAATTTATGTAGAGTCTTTGAATATTTCCTGCGTTAACCAGGGTTTTTGGTTCAGTGTTCGTGCCTTATTCAGGCGGCCTTAAGGTGGTGCAGGTGATACGATACATCCTGCAAGACATGGTTGTTTAAGATTTAGGATTTAGGGTTTAGGGTTTAGGGCCTCGTCCTGTAATAGTGGTAGAGTAAAGATATAACTGGACCTTAATAATATCAATATGGTCTCATATAGTCGCGACTGCAAGGTGGTGGCTCCACCTAACATATACCTACCAAGGGAATAACGGAATGATGGTACTGCTATAATCTCAGGTCATGCAGGACTTTTGGTATCGGCGGTCGGGTTCAGTTTCAGTGGTTACAACAGGGCCTACATATACCGTCTGCGCGAATGATCGCTCTCCCGCCGCCCTTTTCAAGATCTCGGAATTTTGAATTTCAGTGACATTATTGTACAGAATTATATGATGACCTTTTTCTGTAAAACCAGTTGAAAAGCCAAGGACATAAAGAAGATCCCTACTTTTCATTCGATTCGTTGGGGCCCCGTCCATAAGTTGTCCTTCGAGGTGTCAAAATAACCAAAAATCAAGGAAACAAGGGAGATTCCTCATTGTAATTAAATGGCTTTCGGATCGGTAACTAATAGTTTGCTTTACAAAAACCGTTAAGACTTAGGGAATCAAGGAACTCCCTGTATCAACCGTGATTTCTTATTATATTTCCTTCAATGGCCTCCGAACCACCCCTCATTACTTTTGTTTCCCTCCTGCCTTGCGACTCTCGGTACGGCATCAGCATCATGAACATCAGGAAACTAGAGCCCGAACTGATTCAATGGAATGGAATGCTTCAGACTTGCGACAGGGATTGGCTTGCAAGTCCAGGTATGATTTGATTCAAAAGATAGTTGAAAATATACGACCCCTGGGCCCTCTAACAGTAGATTGTAGAGACTGTGTAGACG